TAAGGGCCCTCCCACCTCTGACATTCTCAGCACTTTGCATGACAGGTGCTAAGGGGACCTGTAAATGAGTGATTTGGATGGAAGGCTCCTCAGGGAGGAGAACTGTGTAGGTCGGCACTTGAGGGAAGAAAGGAGGTCAGTGCACAGGTGGAAGGAGCGCAGCCACTTAAGGAAGTCCCCCGGCTGGGCTGCTCTCAAGTTGCTGCCTGTCTCCCTCCCCAGGTGTGCTGGGCCTCACATGGTTCATTAATAAGTTCCGCATCGTGAAGCTGACCCCCAAGGACCAGTTCATCATCGCCTACGGTGGCCTGCGTGGGGCCATTGCCTTCTCCCTGGGCTACCTCCTGGACGTGAGGCACTTCCCAATGAGGGAGCTGTTCCTCACAGCCATCATCACCGTCATCTTCTTCACCGTCTTCGTGCAGGTTGCTGGGGCCTGGGCTGAAGGGGGAGGGGTGGGGGGATGGGCCCCCCTAGGCCTTTCTCCTGCTTCAGAGGGCCTCCAGAGCCACCGCTGTGTGCCGTCCGCAGGGAGGCCAGTGCCCAGTTCCTCAGCCTCTGCTCTGGACCGTCTCACACCCACTGTGTGACTTCTGGCAGGTCATGTGTCTCCGTCTGTGAAGCGGGGGGCATAATCTCCCCACCCCTTCTCACAGGCTCTTAAATCTTCATGAGACACTTGGGGAACAGAGCAGTGGAGATTAGACAGTGGCCCAGTGGAATTATCGCTAGCCCTAAGCATCGGAAGGTTGTCACTTGTTAGCCGAGTGTATCGACTGAGTCCCTTCTCCTGCTGGAGCCTCAGCCCTTCTTCTGTGAAGTAGGGATAATGGGCTGATACACTTTGTCTGCCCGGCTCGCCGCGAGGCTTTGAGTGTTAGAAAATCTGCGTCGTTGTGACTCAGCCCCGTCAAGAATACTCAAGAGGCCTGCAGAGTCAGGCCGCAGTTTGTAGTGGAGCTGCTGGGCAGGGTTAGGTTCAGAGGAGGGAGAAATCCTTCTGTTTGAGGGGATCGAGGAGAGCTTTGAGGAGGAGGTGACACTTTGGTAAGGCCTCGAAGGGAAGAGCCGAGCAGAGGCCTAGACATGAAGGCCTGGGATGAAGCCTGAGACAGCCCACAGTTAGCTGGTTTTGCTGGAGCCCACAGGGAGAGGTAGTGAGTGGAGTGGAGTGAGGCCGGGGAAGGGCAGGGCCTTCAGTGCCAGGAGAGGGGGAAGGCAGCCGCGGCCTGGGTGTTTGGAAGGAGGCCTGTGTGGAGACCCTTGGCTCTAAGATTTGACTGGCCCGTGGGATTGGGAGAATTATCGTCAGTCACTAATGCTACCTACAAAGAACCTCGCGTCCACACAGCTCCAGGTAGACCTGGCGCCACTGTTAATAACCATGCCCTTGCGGAAGGAAGTGGCTTTGTGGTCTTCATTCCTCCATCTTGGAAAGTGTTTTCTTCCCTCACAAGCAGTGACCCCGATGAAGACCTCATCCACTTAGCAGTCCACTTTCTCATCCCATTAATTCTTGTCTTGTCCCCGTGTATTTGGTAGGGCAGATGGTCTTAATCCCCACTTTACAGGTAAGGAAACAGACCAAGAGAGGGAAAGGTTTATCCACACAGCCAGGCAAGGCCAGGATTTGAACACAGGTCCCTTGACTCCCCTAGCCTATGCTAAAGTGCAAATACTTGTGTAGATTGTTTGAATTTGTTTAAATTCCTTACCTCCTCTGTCCTTTCAAGGGCCATCTAGGGCCGAAGAAAGAACAGGAATTTTTTTGTCCATCCTTCAGTGATAAAGGGAGAGCCCACAATCTCCCTTGGCTATCTAGGGTCTGAGGCCCTTTCCCCCCAGGTAAATTTAACCATTGAAGTGGCCCGAGCAGGGCCCCGTGTGCAAGATGTGGCCTTGACAGTTTTCTGCAGAGAGCTTTGGGGCTACTCTTGGCCCTGCTCTCGCTGGGGGCGAGCTCCTTGGAGGCCTGATCCCCGGAGGTGACCCTCCATCCTCTCTGGCCTCCAGGGCATGACCATCCGGCCTTTGGTGGACCTGCTGGCTGTGAAGAAAAAGCAGGAGAGCAAGCGATCCATCAATGAGGAGATCCACACCCAGGTAGGGGCAGGATGGTCCGAGGCAAGAAGGGAGAAAAGGGAGGGAGATCAGAACTGGCCCAGCAGGAAGGCTAGCCCTTCTTCTCTGGGAGTCTTAGGACAAAGGCTGGATGACTCGGGCTGGGGCCTTCCCAGGTTGCTGGTGGTACAGTGGCTTGTCCCGCCGGGTCACCCATCCTGCGTGGGGGAGAAGGGCGCACCTCCAGGAAAGGTGATTGTGCTCCCCTCCCGAGTGGGAATCCCCTGGACCCTGGCTGTGTGAGGCTCTGCTGCCCCCTCTCGTCCATCCTTGGAAGTGCTGTGCGGGCCCAGTCAGGCTGAGCTGGCAGCCTCCTCGAGCCCAGAGCAGGGGACGAATGTCTGTGGCTCCGGGAGGCAGGGCCGGCCTTTCACAGAGGCTCCGGCTCTCCCGGCCTTGATTCCATTTCAGTTCCTGGATCACCTTCTGACGGGCATTGAGGACATCTGTGGCCACTACGGCCACCACCACTGGAAGGACAAGTAAGCAGAGGGAGGGCATTGGCTGAGGTGGGGTGTGGGGCCCGGCCGGCCAGGGAGGCAGGGCCTGCAGAGGGTCTGCTCTCGCCCCCCAGACTCAATCGGTTCAACAAGAAGTACGTGAAGAAGTGTCTGATTGCCGGGGAGCGCTCCAACGAACCCCAGCTCATCGCCTTCTACCACAAGATGGAGATGAAGCAGGCCATTGAGCTTGTGGAGAGTGGGGGCGTGGGCAAGATCCCTCCTGCGGTCTCTACTGTCTCCATGCAGTGAGTGTGGCTCCCCGTGGCTGCCCCGGGGGGGCCTGCGAGTCTGGGGGAACCCCTCGGCCTTCTCTGTACGGCCCACGGCAGCTGCAGGGGTTGGGGAGAGAGGAAGGAGCCAAGGGGAGAACAGCAGCTTTTATTGGCATGTCTGACCGGAGGGCTTGGGGTTCCTGGACTTAGGGGCAGAATTCCAGGCTTATGGGAGGTCATGTAGTTAGAGAGAGCCCCAGGAGGGCTTCAGACACTGGAGCGGACGCAGGGGAGTGTGCCTCCATTTCACCTGAGTGCCTCGGGTCATGCGGGTGAGATCCAGGCTTGGTCCCCTCCATCTCCACACCAGCCCAGACTCCCCCAAGGATAGAGGGCTTTGCACAAAAGTGAGAGTCTGCCTAACCTTGGCTATCTGGATGTCCCCAGAAACATCCATCCCAAGGTACCCTCGGAACGAATTCTGCCAGCCCTGTCCAAGGATAAGGAGGAGGAGATTAGGAAAATACTGCGTAACAACCTACAGAAGACGCGACAGCGGGTAAGAGTCTGGCCCCGGCACCCTTCCCGGTCCTCCGGGAGAACTCTCTCGGCCACACTCACCCCACATCAACATTGCCCTCTACGCCTCACCCTTTCATTTTGGAGTCTCCCCTTGTTCTCTTTCCTCTTTGTGTGTGTGGGCCCCCCCAACCCCCTTCCCCTCTTTCCTCTATTGGATCTTCCCTCTCTTCTCCCCCTTCCCATTCTCCCTCTCTCCCCCCCTTTTTTTTTTTTTTTTTTGGAAAAAGATTAAGTGACTTGCCTAGGGTCACACAGCTGGTAAGTGTTATGTGTCTGAGGTCAGATTTGAACTCGGGTCCTTCTGACTCCAGGGTGGGTGCTCTATCACTGCGCCACCTCACTGCCTGTCTCACTCTCTCTGTGGCCTCCCCTCCCCACCTCATACTGCAACGTCCTCTGGCTCCGCATTGGTGGTCCCCTCTCTCTGCGCTTCTCCCTCCCTCCTCTCCCCGATCCCAGTGCCTCCCTCTCTGCCCACTCACCTATCTTCCCTGGTCCCCCGGCAGTTAAAATCCTACAACAGACACACGTTGGTGGCTGATCCTTTTGAGGAAGCCTGGAACCAGATGCTGCTGAGGAGACAAAAGGTTCGGCAGCTGGAACAAAAGGTATGTGGGCCTGGTCTGAGGAGCCACAGTATGGCCCAGCCCTGGCCTCGGGCCTGCAGAGCCTCCCCGCACCCCACCTTGCCCTCCATCCTAGCGCCTCGGCAGGATGGCCCCGGCCCCCGGTCCCCAGCCCTGGCCTTGGTGCTCTCCGGGCACCAGCTCTCCCCACCACTGGGGCGGGGCAGAGAGGGGTGTGATTTCAGGGGCTGGGCTTCAACCTCCCCCCCCCCCCACCAATGTCAGACATGAAAAAGACCTTAGATCCATGAAGTTCAACCCTTTCTTTGCACAGGAAATTGAGAGTCAGACGAAAGATGAGGATGCTAGGGTCATAAAAGAAGTGAGTGGCAGGGGTTGGCCTAGAGTTAGACTCTCTTTGCCTCAGCCCAGATCTCAGTCCATACCACCGAGCACCTTAATCCCCGCTTCCAATCCTGCCACGTATTCTGTCTCCCTCCCTCAGATCAATAACTACCTGACGGTGCCGGCCCACAAACTGGACTCTCCTACCATGTCCCGAGCTCGAATTGGCTCAGGTATGGGGGGCCCCAGGCAGGGCAGGGGGCCCGGCTCGAGTGGAGGGGCTCCCGGGTCCCCCGGGCTTGTAACAAATGCCATAAGTGTCCCTGGGGAGGGGGGTGTCTGTGTGCCCACCCTCGCTCACCCCCCAGGACTGGCACACTCTGCCTTGGGGGTGGGCAAGGAAACAAAGGCAGATGGTTTTCTTCCACTACCAACTGTCTAAAAGGGAGAGCCCAGGTTGCGAGGGGAGAGAGAGAAAGGGGTGGGGAGGGCGGAGAGAGAGAGAGTGTCTGTGTCTGTGTGTCTGTGTCCTGGGCTGCATTCTGAGCTCTGGGAACTTCCCAGGGGCCTTCATCTTGACTCCATGGTACCCTGGTGCCCTGGGAGAGGTGGTTGAGGGTATCCAGAGACCGTAGGATTGAGAGACTTGAGTTGGAAAGGTCCATTCCTGCAATCTATTAGGCCCACATCCCATCCCCTGAAGCTGGTCGCTGGGATGCGGAGGGGTCCAGAAGCAGCCAGGAGAGGAGAGGGAGTGCCTTGCTGCTTCCTTCCAGCCTGGAAGAGAATGGGGCCATGCCATCAGCCACTGAGTCCCACCACCCAGAGTCCTGTCCTGCTGCTGTGGGAGGCACAGAGATCCATCCACATGCCCAGAATGAGGGGAGACCCAGTCTTGCCCCTTGTGTGTGGGTGGACTGAGAGAAGAGGCCGTGTGTGCATGGCGGAGGGAGCCGGGTTGGGATGAGGCAGGTTTGACTTCTGGGAGGAAAGCTGGGCAGAGCAAGGCTTTGCCTGAGAGGACAGACTAGCTGTTGCCTGTCTCCTCCTCTCCCTGACCCTTCCCATTGACCCACAGATCCCCTAGCCTATGAGCCAAAGCCTGACTCGGAAAACCTGCCTATAATCACCATTGACCCCGCCTCGCCCCAGTCCCCCGAGTCTGTGGACCTGGTAAATGAAGAACTGAAGGGCAAAGACTCGGTGCTGGAGGAGGGAGAGGAAGACGAGCAGGGCCTTGTGATGCACCCCAAGGAGCCCTCCTCCCCAGGCACAGACGACGTCTTCACCCCGGAGCCGGGGGATAGCCCCAGTGCCCAGCGCATGCTCCGATGCCTCAGTGATCCCGGGCCTCGCCCGGAGCCAGGTGAAGGAGAGCCCTTCATTCCCAAGGGCCAGTAACGGCAGGGCTGGGGGCCTCTGAGAACCCGTGGGGGCCTCTCCCCTTCCTTACAGCATGGCAGCTGGGCTCCAGCACGGCTTCCCACTCCCGCCGGGCAGGGCCCGTCTCTCCTCCCAGCGCCAGCCCTCAGAAGGTGGCACAGTGGACACCCTGAGAAGCTTCTCTCCCCTCCCCCTCCTGCCGAGGACAGTGAGGCTGATTGCTGTGCATATCCCTCCTTGGGGCTGGACAAGCGGCTGGCATTAATAACCTCTCCCTCATCTTCAAACGCTGGATTTTCAGAACTCTGGGGTCCTGGCCAGGGCTTGAGGCTCTCCCTGATGGCCCAGACCCTCATTACCCAGCAGGCAAGGCCTTCCTCCCCTGTCTAGTTCCGATAGGCTTTTGTTCTCCTTAAACCCTATCAGTGTCTGTAACCAAAGAGCCGTCTCCTCCCTGGCACGTGCTCCCTGCTGGGCTGGCCACCTTGGTCCTGCTCTGCCTGGGGGTGGGGAATCCAGAAGCAATGCAGCTGTTTACCCCTGCCTGCCCCCAGCCCCTAATTCGATTCACCCAACACCTAGTAAGGGCCTGCTCTGCGCAGGGCCCTGCGTACAGCATGGAGCCTACAGAGGAGAAGGTGGAGTGGCCCAAGAGAGGGGGTATGGGGGGTGTCAGTCCTGGAAGGCTTCTTTGGGGCCAAGCAAGGAGTCCTGCCAGCCCTAGAGTGTGTTGGTGGAAGCCCGCCTCGAACTGAAGCTTGTGAAAGCAGGCTGTCAGGAATGGAGCTTCATTTCCCTTCCCCAGAATCCAGAGTTCTCAGCCATGGACCCCACCCCCACCCCACTGCCCCCACAGGCTCTGCTTTATAAGGAAATGCTGATACCCCCCCACGGTGTCCTGGTCCTCCCCATTCCCGTTGCCCCAGCATCTCTGGGACTAAGCCAGTGGCACCCAAGCAGTTTCCCTAGGGGACCTCCTTCTACAAATCTCTGTTCTGTGCCTCCCCATCAGTCAGTCTCTTGAGACCCCCTGCTTTTAATGTCTTTCTTGGGGACTCCCCTCCCCACAGTATGTGTCCGTGTATCCCTGGCACCTCCATGAGGGAGGGTCAGGATCATAGGGCCTCAAGACCACCTCCCCTCACCAGGGTCCATAGAAGCAGGTGCCCACAGGCCCTGCCGTCCTCTACACACACAACCCTGCCAGTAGCTGTCACCCGTCCTGGTCCTGCTGTCTAAGTATCTGTGATCCCGGAGGTGATCAGGAGGTCAGGGGCTGCTCCTCGACCCCAAGGAAGGGATGTCGTGAGGCCCCGCTTCTGTCCCTCAGAATAAACACCACCTCCCCCCCACCATGATTGTGCAATATTTTCTCTTCCCCTCTATACCCCTCACCCCCTTGGGCCTGGCTGCCCCTCACCACCACCATCCCTTGCCTGGGTGCGCACGCTGTCCCTGGCAGAAATAGCTAAGCAATGAGGAGGCTGACTGGGTGTAAGGCTGTGGTCACCACCTCCCCCTCCCACCCCTCCCACCCCACCTCCTACCTCCCTGTGTACAAAATGAAACAAATCTTTTTCATATTCTAATAAATCAATGTGACTTTTTAATATGTTTGAGGTTGTTCTTGGGTAACGAGGCCAAGATAGCAAGTGTGACTGTGGGCCTTGGATCCCCCAAGAAGCAAAGCAGATGAAGTAAGCAGGGGGCACAGTCAGGCCTCGCCACCCCAGTACTGACTGGTCCCTGGGACCTATGAAGGGTGGGGTGCAGTATGCAGTGATGTTCACCAGGGGGCAGTGGAGCCCAAAGTTCCGACAGACTTCCCTGAGCTGCGCTCTGGTGGCCCAGCTGGAGGAGAAGGGGCAGATGTCCCTTGTCCTCCCTCTCCTGTTCACCCACTTAACTGAGGTGACTTGAAACCAGTCACAGCCCCTCCTTTGGCTTCTCCACATTGGATGAGATAGCTGTAAACAATGACTAGCGTGTCTGTAGAACTTCAAGGTTTGCAAAGCACTTTACACATGTGTTGAACCTCACAACCCTGGAAACTAGGTGCTGTCACCCCCTTTTTACAGATGAAGAAGTGTTTGGCAGATAGGTTCAGTGATTTGTCCAGGGTCCCATCACTGGTGCTCAAGACTGGATTTGAACTCGGATATTACTGACTCCAGGTCTAGTATTCGATCTACACGATGTTATGTCTTGGGGTCAAAACACTACCATGAGCCCTGGGGGTGGGGGAGGACAGTTCTAGGGTTCTAGGGTCTCTCCCTGTCATGGACCACCAGATCAAAGACAGCCAGCAAGGGACTAGGAGAAAAGAACTGACCATTAGGGTCTAGGACGTGGTAAGGAGGACCCCAGGCCTGGGCCCAAAAGTGCTGAGCACTCTGGTCCTCGTGCACCCCACTAGCTGAATAGTGGACTAAGGGTAAATTTGAGAGGGCACGTGACTTACTCAAGAGACAGGCCCTATAAGCCTATACTGAATACTTTCTATGCCAGTGATTCTCAGATCTATTTATCCAACCCTAACTTACCTCCCCACTTCCAACCTTGTATCACCACCTGCTTCTTGGACATCTCTATGTGGATGTGCCATAGGAAATGCAAACTCAACATGTCCAAAACTGAATTCATTGCTTTCCACCACCCCCCCAACCCTCTCCTCTTCCTAACTTTCCTATTAGGAGCGGGGTACCACCACCATCCTCCCTGTCACCCAGACTCACAATCTACATGTCATCCTCCACTCCTCCTTCTGTCCTCTGAAACTCCCAGCATTCTGGTGTGGGCCCTCATCTCCTTGTGCCTGGACCCTGCCTAGAGTTCCTCCCCACTCTATTCCCCTTCCAAAGTGGCTTTCCTAAATCCCAGGTCACTCCCCTACTCAACACACTTCAGTGGTTCTAGGATCCGTGACTTCTAGGGTCCAGTAAAATCCTTTGACTTTTAAGGCCCCTTCTACCTCTCCCATCCATCTTTATTAGTCTTCGTTCCCCTCCATGTACTCTAAGGCTCCAGCTGTACCAGCCTTCTTGCTTTTCTACCCTTAATAACACTCCATTTTCAGCATTAACCTTTTCAGTAGCTTCAGTTCCTGGCTCTCCTCAAGGCTCATCTCAAATCCCACCACCTATCCCAGTCACCCTCATCCCCTATCCCATGCCCTTCTGAGACTACATCCCATTTGCTCTGTGATTAATCCCTGTAATCTCCCCCATTAAAAGGTGGGCCCTGTGAGGACAGAGACTGGTTTTTTATCTTTCTTTGTATACCCAAGGCTTAGCACAGTACTTGGCACATTGTAGATGGTCAACATTCTTGTTGACTTACTAACAAAGCTGCAGCTCCCAAGAAATCATAGGGTTAGCAGCTCGACTGTTGGGCACTGCTATTCAGGTGCCCTGGCAACCCCAAGATAGCATCCTTCTTTACTCCTCCCCAAGCAGATGGGCCTGTGGATTATGGGAGGGGGTCAGAGGCCCAGAAAGGGATAACCACTTGGCCCAGACAGTACAACATAAAGCAGGATGTGAAACCAGAAATGGTAGAGACCCAACTGTTCCCATGCCAGGTATTTGCTGAGGGAGCTTCCCACACTAATCGGGTTACATGACCCAGCAGGAGATGGGGAGTAAAAAGAAGAGATTCAGACTGTTTTGCAAACACACTGAGTATAACACGACTGCAAAACGAGGGAATTGTCCAGACTGGGCATGTAGTTGGCATGAGTTGACGTTAGTTCCCAGGGGCATTGAAACTCTGCTAAGTACTTTGAGATCATCAGAAGAGAGCTAAGAAAGATTAATTATACTCCACCTGGCAGCCGCTTCCTGGACCTGCCTGGATGGTGCAGACTACCATGAGTAGTCTCGCCCCTGGCTCTTGGCATTCAGTCATAGGCTTATTGTCAGCTGGTAGGTCAATAAGCATTTATTAAGTGCTGACTGGGGGCAGCTAGGTGTTGCAGTGGATAGCATGCTGGGCCTAGAGTCAGGGGGACTTATATCTATGGTTTCAAATAAGGCTGCAGACACTTGCTAGATGTGTGACGCTGGGCAAGTCACTTAGCCCTGTTGGCCTCAGTTTCCTCATCTGTAAAAGGAACTGGAAAAGAAAATAGAAAACCACTCCAGTATGCTTGCCAAGAAAACTCCAAAGAAAGTCACAGAGTCAGACATGACTGAAATGACTGAACAACAACAAAGTGCTTACTGTTTTTGAGGCACTGTGCTAAAGTGCTGGAATAGTAGATTTAGTACTGGAAGGGACCTCCAATGTCATTTAGTGCAACTCTTTTTTTTTTCTTTCTCTCTCTTTTTTTTTTTTTTTTGGCAAACAGGGTTAAGTGACTTGCCCAGGGTCACACAGCTAGTGTTATGTGTCTGAGGCTGGACTTGAATTCAGATCTTCCTGACTCCAGGGCCGATGCTTTATCCACTGCGCCACTTAGCTGCCCCAGCAATCTCTTTGTTTTACAAACGACAAAACTGAACTCCTAAGAGATGTGAGGTCCTAAGGGACCCAGAGATCAAGGTCCCACAAGTAGGCAGCATCTGAACCCAGAGCCCCTTGAATCCAAAGCTAAGATTGTTTCTAGTTCAGGCCCTCATCGCCTCGCCCAGACTGTTGTCTTCTAATTGATCTCCTGTCCCTCACACTTACCAAACTGCTCATCACACACATCCCACATTCAAAAATCTTCAGTGGTTCCCTGTCGCCCCCAGGGACAAAAATGGAAATTCCTCGATCTGGCCTTGAAAGCCTCCTCCAGGCTGGCTCCCATCCATTCACTCTCCTTCCCAGGCCAGCCAGCCCAGTATGCAACATTCCATCTCTCATCTCCATGTCTTTGCACAAGTGGTACCTCGTGTGTGGAAGGCCTTTCTTCAGCTCTGCCCGGTCCAGTTTCAGTGTCCTCCAAGGTGCCACTCCTCATAAAGCATCTTCCTCCCTCAAGCAGCATCATGGTAGGTGCACCTGGTAGGTACCAGACTGTGCCTGTTCTCCAGAGTCCTCACTGGGAATCAGTAAGCGTGGGCCAGTTGAGCTGGGATGTGTGTCATGTACCCGTCAAGGGGCATAAGGCGTGGTTCTTCCAAGGAGATTCCCTGTGACGTTAGGAAGTACTATGAGCAGTCCAAGTTGGTATGGCAGTCCTGGAGTGTGCTCATGGACACAGTGGGCCTTGTCAGGCATGGGTAGCACCACTAGTCTGCCCTTTGGGGCAGAGCTAGGCCCAAACAACACCAGGGATTCAATTCAATTTTGCAAATATTTACTGAACACCCCAAGCCAACTGGCTGGCAGGGGATCCTTGTTCATTTGGACCCAGGAGGGCCATTGCTGCCTAACCCCTGGCTCCACACCCCTAATCTGTGCCTGCCTGACTCAATGATACTAACCTGCATTCACTTTCCCAGGCTTTCCCAGGGAAGGTCCCAAGGAACAACTTCCCCACCCCTGTCCATCAGAGAATAATAATGACCGACATGTATATAGTGCCTTAAGATTCCCAAAATACTTTAAACGCTTCATCTCATTTGATAATAGAAATGGAGCGAATGGGGGCTAAAAGAGAAAGTTGGTGTCTGAAGTGGGATTTGAACTCAGGAAGCTGAGTCTTCCTGACTCCACGCCTCTCCTGTCACTCTGTGTAATGTGGCACCTGCTATGTGCCCTGTGATGAGTCTGTGAGGGGGATGGACACCCAGTAAAGAGATTAGTTCATTCAGTCCCTTTAAGTTTCATCTCCACAATGAGTTCCCATCTCTATACTAATATTATGAACATCCAAACTGAGTTCCTGCGTCCTTCACTCTGCCCTCATCTTCTCATTGAGACCCATTGTTTTATTCAGTCCCTCTGAGATGACTGAGTCCCCCACCCCCATCTACTCACAAATACCCCATCAGCCATTCTGAAGGAGGAGTGGGGCTTCTGGGAGCATCATGGAGGCTCAGAGAACAGGGGCCCAGTTAGAGGAATGAGACCCAGGGATGGGACATGGGTCCATTGGCAGGGGTGATGGGGATATAGAATGAGGGGAAGGAGGGGTGACTAAGGTGGGCTCATCCAGGGTCTCAGAGGAAGGAATGCAAACTGACCCTGCAATGACAGGAAGAAGGACTCTAGGAGAGCCTAAGAATCTCTGGAAGCAGAATGGGGGATCACCTAGAAAAATGTGGGATCAGTGTTGGGGAGACAGGGCTTGAGTCAGAATTGGAGCTTATTGGGGAGATAAGGGCCCAGGGCAGAGGTGGAAAGAGCAATTGGAGTGAAAAACAAACCTGGTTCAGTCTGAGCTCTGCTACTTATTACCTGGAGGCAGCTAGAGGCACAGCGGATAGAGTGCCCAGCCTGAAGTCAGGAGGATCTGAGTTCAAATCCAAACTCAGACATGTACTAGCTTTGTGACCCTGGGCAAGTCATTTAACCTTATCTGCCTCAGTTTCCTCATCTGTAAAATGAGCTGGAAAAGAAAATGGCAAACTGCTCCAGTATCTTTACCAGAAAAACCCCGAAGGGGGTCATGAAGAGTCAGACAGGACTGAAACAACTCAATAATAACACTTACTAC